GGTCCAACTAGACTGCTCTGCAAAGGAGCCAGTACAGATTCAATGGGTTGAGTGGTCTCATTCTGCGCTATACTAATCTATGATCATATAGGGGTAATGAGGCCTTGCAAGGATTTGGAAATTCACTTTGTTGGAAGTCAAAGATTACAATCTGTTCCCTCTCTCCCCTTGAGTTACCATTAATCTCCCCGAACTCATATTATACTCTGTGCCTGCCTATGTCACACCATTGTGCATTATCATTGATTAATTTATATTGAAGCATACTTTCCTCACTTTCAATTTCAACCCTCCACCTGTCTTTAAAATCTATCCAATCAGCTGTGACCTTCTAGAATACTGTGTTGCGCACACATTAAAGGATTTCCTATTAATTTTATGCTGTGTTGTTTGAAAGCTGGTCTGTATCGTTCACTCATTGGTTTAATTCTCTGTCCAGGGACCTGAACACGGATCTAAGCTGACATGCCTGGTGCAGTGCTGAGGGAGTGCCGCACTGTCAGAGGGTCAGTGCTGAGGGAGTGCCGCACTGTCGGAGGGTCAGTGCTGAGGGAGTGCCGCACTGTCGGAGGGTCAGTGCTGAGGGAGCGCGCACTGTCGGAGGGTCAGTGCTGAGGGAGTGCCACACTGTCGAAGGGTCAGTGCTGAGGGAGTGTGACACTTATCGGAGGGTCAGTACTGAGGGAGTATGGCACTATCGGAGGGTCAGTGCTAAAGGAATGTCACACTATCAGAGGGTTAGTACTGAAGGAGTGATGCACTGTCAGAGGGTCAGTACTGAGGGAGTGCCGCACTGTCAGTGGGTCAGTACTGAGGGAGTGCCGCACTGTCGGAGGGTCAGTGCTAAGGGAACACCACACTGTCAGTGGCGTTATACTGTGGTTTGATTGGCTGGGTGGCTAGTTTGTGATACAGAGTGACACTAACATGTGTTCAATCCCTGCACCAGCCGAGGTTACCCACCTTCTCAACCTGGCCCCACATCTGAGGTATCGAATGAGGGAGTAGGCCCATCGATACGTGATGCAAACTTTAAAGAATTTGTTCCCCCAAGTCCCTCTGTTCTACAACACTACCCAAGGCCTACCATTAATTGTATAAGCCTTACCCTTGTTTGTTGTACCAAAATGCAATTCCACGCATTTATCCAGATTGAACTCCATCTGCCATTTTTCAGCCTATTGACCCACTTGATCAAGATCCCTTTGTAATCTTAGAAAATCTTCCTCACTGTCTACAATGCCACTAAATTTGGTGTATCCACAGACTCACTAACCATGCCTTCTACATTCTCATCCAAATCATTTCTATAAATGACAAACAAAACAGGACCCAGATCTGATCCCTTTGGAAAGCCGCTGGTCACAGGCTTTCAGTCCAAAAAGCAACCCTCCACCATTATTCTCTTGCTCCAGCAGTTAAGCCAAAATAGAGGATCAACGATGGTCTGGTCATGAGGGATTTGGAGTATGGGGTGCAGGGGCGGAGGGTTTTGGGAGAATTGGGGAGTATGGTATGGGGAATTGGTGTACAGAGGATTTGGGGTTAATGGTATGAATGGCAGAGCAGGCTAGATAGGCCAAATGGCCTTGTCTGGCTCCCATTTTCCATGTTTCCGTGAAAGTACGTTCCTCTATTCTATCGATGTGGCGTGAATTCTCATCTCTGCCAGAGTTTGTTTATTGTAAAAATACCGGGTGCAGCTTGCACAGAGAGAGAGCAACAGAGCTTTGGGCACAGGCAGCTGCAGGTCTGGTTGCCAATGGTGGAGTGATGAAAATCGGGGATGCTCAAGAGACCAGAATTTGAGGACTACAGTGATCTCAGGATTGTGGGTATGCAGGAGGTTACAGTGATAGAGAAGGTCAAGGCCAGTGAGGAATTCAGAGGCAAGAATAAGAATTTTAAAATCAATACATTTCCGTAATCCTGCAGGACAGCTCCCCACCTGGCTAGGTTGGAGAGACCAACCATTCCGGCCTTTTTATTTTCCAAGCTTGCAAGTAAAACTAGCAAGTTAAAACAAATCCAAGTTCACTGACTCTGTGCCACCAATCTCTCCAAACACAATCTCTGCATAGTGTTCAAAATGGCCTCTTTACTTGTTAATGATTGACAGGCATCTACTTGTTAATTGTGCTAAAACTTTGCTTGCCTGCTATCTAAACTAAATGTGTCTCACTGGGACACTGCCAGATCAGAGGTTTTGTTAAACAAACAATGTCAGCAACACAAAGATCAAAAAACCAAAGGTTGAATCACGGTGGGCGGGGAATGGGGAAAGTGGGGTTTGGGTCAATGTAGTTTAGGGGTATTTTAGTGAAAGGGTACAGGGAAAGTGAGATCTAGGGGAGGGATTCTGGGGATAGAGGGGTATGAGATATGAGGGAGCTGGGGTCAGGGCATAGGGAATGGGTTATGGGATGAGGTATAGGGGTTTTGGGGAGAATGATGTGGAAGAAGTATGGTGTGGTGTACAGGGGAAATGGGCGTGGGGGATTTGAGGCATGGGATATGGGAATAGTGGGGCATAGGGGATTTGGGGTTATTGGTATGAGGAATTTAGATTATGAGGGATTGGGGTTAATGGTGTATGGGAATTGGTGTACATGGTTTGTAAGAATTGGGGTTTTGTGGTTTAGAGAATTGGGGAATTAGGGATAGGGTATGGGACAAGTGCAGTGCAGGATAGGAGGGATTTGGGATTAGTGGTACAGGGAATTGGAGCATGGGGGAATCAGGGTATGCTGTATAGAGTGAGTTGGATATGGGGTGTGTCACCAATTTGCACACAGTAGGATCCCACAAACAGCAAGATGACAATGACTGAGGCAATCTGTTTTGCGATGATAGACAAGAACCTCCAGTTTTTCATGGACTAGTGGTCAAACAGATATATTAAACTCAGAAGGAAGGCCAGGGGTAACCTGGGTTTAACCTCTCACCAAAAAGACAGCCCCTCTGAATGTACAGCCCTCCATCAAGACAGCAATGGAGTGTCAGCCTTGACTCTGCTACTCACATTTAGGACAGATCAGTGCTGTTCCTTTAAGAAAGAAATCCCCTCCAAGCTCAGCAAAATTAGCAACAACAGACAGGAGCTCTGTGCCTTAAAGGGGCAGTGGCATTCTATCAGTAGGAGTGGGCATTGGTTGTTGGGGGAGGTAGAGAAGTTCTCCAGCATCCGTCCTGCCCCCAGGGTCATCCTAAACTCTTCACCAGGTGCAGTGTAGTTCTTGAGACAGTAGGAACTGCAGATGCTGGAGAATCCGAGATAACAAGGTGTAGAGCTGGATGAACACAGCAGGCCAAGCAGCATCAGAGGAGCAGGAAGGCTGACGTTTTGGGCCTAGACCCTTCTTCTGATGCTGCTTGGCCTGCTGTGTTCATCCAGCTCTACATTTTGTTATTGCAGTGTAGTTCTTGATTGAAGGTGGAAAGATCAGCAACCAAGTTTCACAACACAGTACAATAATAATTAGGTCATTTAATGATGGATTATGCAATGGTGCTAGCACAGAAAGAGGGCATTCAGTCCATCATGTGCATGCTGGCTCAGTGAGTCCCATTCCCCTGCCTTTATTCCACAGCCTTGTAAAATGTTATGTTCAAGTAATTACTGAACTCCCTATGGACCGCTTGATTGAATATACCTCCTCCACCCTCTGGGAGCAGTATATTCCAGGTCCCAGCCACTCAATGCTCTTTTGGCAATCACCTTATGTCATGTTAAGGTAGCTCACCATTTCCAGAGCAATTGGGGAGGTGCAATAACTCCAGTCAGTAACACCCATGAACAATTAAAACTAAATCAATGTGCTCTGGTTCTTGATCCTCCCACAAATGGGGCAGTTTCTCCCTCTACAACCTGTACAGAACCCTCACGATTTTGAAAACCTCAATCAAATCTCCTCTCAACCTTCTCTTCTCCAATGAAAACAGTCACAATTTTTTCAATCTACCTACTAACTTATATTCCTCATTCATAGAAATATTCTCTTGAATATTTTTCCAAACCTTCCTTTCATTCCTAAAATGATTCTAGCTGAGATCTAAAAAGTGTCTTGGGCAGATTCCATCACCTCCTTGTTCTTGTACTCCAAAGGTAAAGTCACCATTGGGCTGCTCTCTCATTAGAGAGAGAGAGAGGGAGAGACGACTAGTGATGGCTTAACCTGAGGGTCACCATGTCTCAGGCAGGGGGAGAAGTTGAGAAGGAGGGTGCTTCGTGGTAACCTCAGCCAGTGTAGGAATTGATCTCTGCATCGCATACCAGCCATCAAGCCAACTGAACTAACTCGCCATGCCGTGAGTAGTTGGGATCTGGAATACGCTACCCCCAGAGGGTGGAGGAGGCAGGTCCAATCAAGCTGGTTATAGGGAATTAGGTAATTACCTGAAAATAACCATTTTGCAGGGCTGCAGGGAAAAGGTGGGAGAGAGGCACTCACTGAGTTGCTCTTGGAGGGAAGCCAGCATGCACACACTGGGCCGAATGACTTCTTTCTGTGCTGGCATCCTATGATCAATCAAAACCAGAATCTGACTGCTTTTTGTGTTAATGTCACTGGGCTAGCAACTCAGAGGCCCCCAGGTGAAGGTTCTATGAGCCTAGGTTCATTTCCCACTGTGGTGGAATTTAAATTCAATTAATTAAAATCTTAAGATAAAAAATGCTGACCTTGGAACTTATGTTGATCGTTGCAAAAATCCTTATAGCTCATTAATGTCCTTCAGAGAAGGAAATCTGCTGTCCTTACCTGGTCTGGTTTACACGTGACTCCAGACCCTCCAATGGCACTTAGAGAAGAGCCCAACAAGTCACGTGGCGATATTTCATCTACATGAACGCATCAAAATATAACATTCCATTGCACCATGATAAGATCTTTTTGTTAAAAAGACCAAGAGGAAATTCTTATGTAGTCAGTCAACAGTTAACAATCATAATGAAACCTCAGCAAGTTGTGTATATATAGAAGCCGTGTGCTCTCTAGCAGCCAGATCACTTGTCCTCTGGTGACAGCCTGGTAACCTCACAATTCAGTTTCTCACCAGCAGGCACTCTCTCTCTTGCATCCTGTCATCGGCTCTACCTGGAGACTGGCATCATGAGTATTCACGTTAAGGCTGTTCTTCTCCTCTGCGCCATCGCTTGGCACACCTGCGAAGGTAAGGCAGTTTATCACCAGGAAGAGCAGGGCGTGCTGAGGGTCCTGGGTCAATCCTGGCAGGGAGGTACCACAGACAGGCAAGTGAATACCACTGCACACTTCTTATCCTGAGTAATCCCTCCTTGAGTTCAGCTCTGGGCAGTTTCTCTAAACTCAAACGCACTGTAAGAATAAAACATGTCGACCCTATCCTGGGAATCTGAGATGGTATGGGCACTCTCTAATCAAGTTGTTTAAGAAAGAGAAAAAAACGTTGCATTTGCATAGCACTTTACGTAGCCTTTGGGTGTCCCAAAGCACTCTACAGCCGTTGATGCATTTTTGACGATGCCATTGTAATGTAGGAAACCCAGTAACCAATTTACACACAGCAAGTTCCCATTGCCAGTGAAGTGATAATCTACTGGTAAGTTGTTGATGGAATGTTAAGTCTTGGCTAGGACATGTGGGGGAATGCAATGCCTCCTGCTCTTTTCCCAAAAGGCAGGCCATGAAATCTGCTCTGTCCACCTGGGAAAGTAGATGGAGAACTGCAGGTATTGTCCAAAAGACAGCATTGCTGGCAGTGCTGCACTCCCTAAGTACTGTAGGCATTTGAATCCACAACTTTCCAGGTCCTCAGGTGAGACTGGCGTCTGCTACAGAGAAGCCCCTTTCAGATTGTTTCTCCCTGGCAGATTTCCCACTAGAATCACACAGTCCAGGCCACTACTTTAACCCGAGATGGAGGAAAGCAGACCACTTACCCCCAGCAGCTGGGAAGGGAGTTGAGGATTTTGTAGGAATCCATGTGGAGACCTTGTGTTTTGTATAAACTGCCAATTACAGAGACTGTTCAAGTTTATCCTGTGGCTGTCTAAACCCGCCCACCAATCTACAATGGCAGCCAGACCCCTAACTTGGAAATCTGTACTCTTCCCCTCTACCTGATCACACCATTCCCTCATCCAGTTCTTTCCAACAACACTGACCTCTTACCCTCACGGTCCATTCGCTATTCAACCCGCTCTTTACCTCTATGTTTGGTGAGTATGTCGGCTATCCGACGATGATGGCATCGCAGCTGAGTTCCAAGCTGCCCTTGGCCACATTGTGTGTACAGTCCGGGCTTCCTATCAGCTTGAGGGTGGCGCTCCAGACTGACATTTTGTTTCGTCTCCTGACTTGTGGTCCTGAGGCTAACCACAAGCCCTCAGCCCCACCCCAACCAACCACCATCACCAGTCGACTTCCCTCCCCCAGAAAAAAAAACTTGCAACTGCTCAACCGAGTGTGATCAGCTGAGACTGGGGACAGGACTGGTTAAACGAGGACAGATTCAACCTGTTTCATGTATTTGCACAAACACGGGCAAAATTTTCTCTTGTCTTGCTGTGCCTGACAACAGTGCACTTTAACTGCCCCATAGCTCAACATAATCTTTTATTTTCATTCATTCTGTGGACGTTAGTATCAAAGCTGACATTTATTATCGATCCTGTTCTGCCCTGTACATGAGTCGTCTTTGTGATTTACTAGTTGCACGTTAGGAGGCAGGACTGGCAGTTAAGTCAGAGATAACCGGTTTGCAATGAGACTAGAGTCACACAGAGACTGCAGTCAGTCCCAAATGAATGTGCTCCTCTCCATATTGCATCAAACCAATGGCAGCTGTTCAAGGAAAAGCTGGACCAACCTTCCCCTGACAGTATCTCAGGGCAATCCAAAAGGGGTTATTAATGCAGCCTTGCTACTGATTCCCCACACTCCGACTTACTTTTGCGCACAATGGATATCATCTGGCAGCGAATGAATGGGCTGAACAGCCTCCTTCTCTGCCATCGTGTCAAGGAGGTGACATACTCCGAGGATGAGAGAGGAAGAGATCCAGAAATATCGGTCAATCTCCCCCTGACCCTCTGGCCGAGGGTGGGCAGAATCATCACCAGGGGGTAGTTTTCGAGGGACAAATCGGGCCACCAGGACCTACAATGACCTCTTCCTCTCTCAGCGCAGTGACCAGCCGGGATCACACTATGCAACTGAATGTTATAAACTGGAGTAAAGAGGAGTGGGAATTGGTATGGGAATCCTGTCTTGCCTGAGCTCCCCATCTGATTTCAGTGACAGTCTAACCAATGCTGCTTTCAATGAAGTGTCTCTGTTCTGACAGGAGGCCGGGGGGACGATGGTGCAATTGACTGCTGTCTGGACGTCAGTCACAAAGTGATTCCCAAGCGAATCGTGGCAGCTTGCAAGGTGCAGGATGCCTCAATGGGATGCCGTATCTCTGCAGTGATGTAAGTAAGGAGCTGTCAACACCTCCACTGCTCCACTCAGTCACCCCTCCGCCTACAGACCCCTCCGCCCAGAACCCTCTGCCCAGAGAACCCCAGACAGACCCATGCATCCAGAGACCCCTCCATCCAGGGATGCCTCCACCCAGACCCCTCTACCCAGAGACCCCATCACCCAGAGACCCCTCTGCCCAGACCCCTCCACTCAGATATCCCCACCCAGATCCCTCTGCCCAGATGGCTCCAGAGACCACCCCCCCCCCAGGAATGCCCCCCCCACCCAGAGATGCCCTCCCACCCAGAGACCCCACCCCACCCAGAGACCACCCCATGCAGAGACCCCTCTACCCAGACCCCTCCACCCAGAGACCCTCACCCAGACCCCACCCAAATCCCTCCATCCAGACTCTCTGCCCAGACCCCTCATCCAGAGAGCCCTCCACCCAGAGATCATCCACCCTGTCTCCACCGCTCAGAGACTCCTCTTCCCAGTATAGCTGAACAGGCCGAGTGGTCACTGGGATGGGGGAAACACTCAGAGAATCAGGACCCATGCTCCAATCCACATGTCCATTGCCACATTGACCATCTGGGAGTATGGAATTGTCCTGCCAACAGAGGAAAACATAACTTAAGGGAGTAAGAAATCCTGCCTGGTGCGTATCTTGTCCCAACTCCCCATTGGATTTAGGCACCGCCCATTCTCCCCTCGCCTCCCCCACACCTTCCTGCTCTGACCAACCCAGCCTGCCCACGCCCTCAAGACACCCTCCACCCTCCCAAATCATAGCTTTGATGTTGTAATGAGCAACTGAATGTGACCTGGAAACAGATTAGAGATTACCGTGTACACAGTGACCTGTGAGCAATTGACTCAGCCTCATGGGCTGCTCGAATATCCCAATGGGTAGTTGCTAATGTCACCTGGATCTTGTTTTGCAGAATCACCACGGTGAAGAACAGGAAACTGTGTGCTCCACAGGGCCCCCAGTGGGTGAACAGATTACTCAAGAGATGTGAAAGGCAAAAACAGTTGCTGTAAGCAGAAACTTTTTTGGGGTGGGCTGTTTCCTGAATGCATGAGTGTCCAATTCAATGGCGAACAAGAATTTTCCATAATGCTGCCTATCACCTGGAGGCTTTGGCTTAAAGATTACAAAAAGTGATTACACCCCTTGACATTTAATTGCATCTAACCCTGTGCTGTTCCTATCCTAGGAATGTTTGAGGGTAACAGAGGAGAGAGAGCTTTACTCTGTACCTAATCCCGTGCTGTCCCTGTCCTGGTAGCTTTTGATGGGGACAGAGTAGAGGAAGCTTTACTCTGTACCTAACCCCATGCTGTCCCTATCCTCGGAGTATTTGATGGGGGACTGTGTAAAGAGAGCTTTACTCTATACCTAACACCATGCTATCCCTGCCCACGGAGTGCTTGATTGGGACAGCAGAAAGGGAAATTTGTCACATTTAACCAATGTTGTTTCCTAACCTGTCATTGTGGAATTTGAGTTATGAATCCATACCACAACCACTGATGAGCCTTGCCATATATTAACATCCGATAACATTAACTCTTTTGCAACTTATAATTCTATGTTTCAGTGGAGTTAATATAAAACATTCTTGTTCTTAAGGCTTTCCCTTTGTTTCTCTGTAGAGCATAATGATCTCAATGACGGACAATCAAGGTTGAAGTGAAAGACTGTGGAAGTATTGCGACTCCCGACTGGGACTCCCCGTAGTCTGCAGCATCTTTCGGCTTTCTCCTGCTTTACTTAGTGACAAACTTTATCAGGCGATCCCGGACTAATGTGAAACTTTCTCCAAGTGGTAAATGTACCCCTGAACCACTTGTAATTTTAGATTCAGTTGTCAGGGATGTGCATCACCTCATCATTATCACATTTTGCAACACTCCTTTTGACCCATTAGCGGTCGCAAAAATCTAACAGTCACACTGAAATCAGTGCAGTTAAGGGACAGTGTAAACGGAATGTTACTTTTATTCTAACCCTTGTGGTCCTGTTTTTGAAATTTCCCCCTGTCATTCGTAATTTCTGAGTGCAAATGGCCATTTCTTATTTTCTTTGCACAGAAGACATCAGTTGCATTGACTGGGCCAGCATTTATTGCCTCATCCCTAACTGACCCTTGAGCCAGTGGTGGTGAGCTGAACTGAACTCATCCCCAGTGTCATACTGACTGATGGTGAAGTGAGCTGCTTCTATCAGCAGATGGTGGAGTGTCTGGTTCCCAATGGGATTGGGGTTCGTGGAGTGACACTGAGGTGATCCTTGGAGCACAATGTGCTTCAAAGAGCAGGGCATTTTTTTCACTGAGGACGTGCAATAAGAGGAGGGTGTGAATCAATCTTCCTGAAAGACTCTTTAGCAATCAGGAAATCAGGATTCAATTTGAAAGCGCATGAGATGGAGTCAGTACTCGAGACAAAAGCATGTCCAGATAGCAAGCAGAACCTATAGCCTGGATAGCTCTGTTGGTTGAGCATCAGACTTTTAAACTGAAGGTCCAGGGTTCAAGTCCCTGTCCAGGTATTTGGTTTGCCAGCACCTTGGATGAGAGTAGCTCACTAAAGCAAGTACCCTTTCTCAGGTCAGTTAAGGATAGGTAGCCTTCATTAGCAATATCAATTTTCTGGGATCACAATGGAAATGGAAATTCAAGTAGGGTTGATATCATGCTGGATAAATAGCTCAGTGGTGTTTTCATATCCTAATCATTTTCATTTATTAAGGTACAATATTATGAAGTGATGCACAGCCTCCCAGCTAATTATCTATAAACATTGTGCTTATTGAATAAATATCCTGATTCCTCAATATCGAATGGTCACAAATTAAATCTATTTTCTTGCAACCTTTTGCTACCTTATTGACAGACAAGAACATAAACTCAAATAAAAGAAAAATGCAGCAGATGCTGGAAATCTAAAACAAACACAGAAGATAGAAGTCATGGTGAAGCAACCAGATGGAAGAGATTACACAGAGGTTTATTATTTTTCATTGGGACATGGGCATCTCTGGCAAGGCCAGCATTTATTGCCCATCAATAATTGCCTTTGAACTGACCGGCTTGATCAGCCACTTCAGAGGGCAGTTCAGAGTCAATCACATTGCTGTGGGTTTGGAGTCACATGTAGGCTAGACTGGGTAAGGATGGTACATTTATTTCCCTAAAGTGAACCAGAAACGTTTTTAAGGGATAGCAAGAACTGCAGATGCTGGAGTCAGAGTCAATACAGTGTGGGGTTAGAGGAACACAGCAGGTCAGGCAGCATCAAAGGAACAGGAGAGTCAATGTTTTGGGTTGGGACCTTTCATCAGGACTCAGTCCTGACCCAAGACATTGACTTTCCTGCTCCTCTGATGCTGCCTGACCTGCCTGTGTTCCTCCAGCTCCACACTGTATTGACAGATGGGTTTTTGCAACAATTGGTGGTAGTTTCATAGCCACTGTCTCCGACACTAGCTTTCAATTCCCATATTTTATTCATTGAATTTAAATTCTATCAGCTGCCATCATGGTTTCTTGAAGGGGAAATCACACCTGACACTTTTACGAGAATTCTTTGAGGAGATAACAAGCAGGATAGATGGGGGTGGGTGTGGTGCTGGTGATGGGGGGTGGGGTTGGTGGGGGAGGCAGTGAATGTAATATGTTTGGATTTTCAGAAGATGTTTAGTAAGGTGTCACACATTACGCAACTTAATAAGAGCCCACAGTGTTGGAGGCAGTATATTAACATGGATAGAGGATTGGCTAACTCATAGAAAACAGCTAGTCGCAATAGGGAGTATTTTCAAGATAGCAACCAGTAACTAGTGGTGTGTGCCATAGCAATCAGTGCTGGGGCCACATTTATTTAATATATGTACATTTTAATGACTTGGATGAGAAAAATGAATGTATAGCAAAGTTTGTGGATAACTCGAAAATATGCCGGGGTGGGGTGTGGCAAGCGGTAAGGATGAGAAGAGTCTGCAGACAGATAGCGACAGGTTAAGAATGTGGGCAAAAACTTGGCCAAAGGGATACGATGGGGGAAATGTGAAGTCAGACACTTTGGCAGGAATAATACAGGAGCTGAATATTATTTAAATGGAGAAAGACTGCAATAAGCTACAGCACAGAGAGATTCAGTAGATCTTTTCCATGACCATAAAATGCTAGCGTCCAAGTTCAGTGAGTAATAGGGAAAGCAAATGAATGTTGGCCTTTATTTCAAAGGAAATGGCATATAAAGGTAGCAAAGTTTTGCTAAAACAATACAAAGCCCCATTCAGACCACAACTGGATTATAGTGAACAGTTTTGGGCCATTTATCTAAAGAAAGATCTACTGACATTGGAGGTAGTGCAGAGAAAGTTCAGATACCGAGTATGAAGGAACTGTTTTATGAGATTGAGTAGTTTGGGCCTATAATCATTGGAATTTAGAAGAATGAGAGGCAACCTTACTGAAACATTTAAGATTTTAAGGAACTTGACAGGGTAGATGTGAAAAGGTAGTTTTCCCTTGTGGAAGACTCTAGGACCAGAGATTGTAATCTTAGAATAAGGGTTCACCTATTTAAGGCAGGGATGCGGAGAAATTTCTTCTTTCAGAGGGTAGTGAATCTGTAGAATTCTTCTACCCCAGAGGCTGAGATAGAAAGATTTTTAATCAATGAGAAAATAAAGGGTTATAGGGAAAAGGCAGGAAAGTGGAATTGAGCATAATCAGATCAACCATAATCTCAGTGAATGGTGGAGCAGACTTGATGGGCAGAATGGCCTAGCTCTGCTGCTATGTCTTATGTTTTTATCTGAACGCCTTGCTCGATCATTTCATGTTACGAAAATTAGGGAGAAAATAGTGAGGACAGCTCTAGATCACAGGAGGATGCAAACAGGCTGGTCAAATGAGCTGATCAGTGAGAAATGGAATTCAATCTGGATAAAATGAAGTGATGCACTCAGGCAGAACAAACAAAGCAAGGGAGTACATTGATGACCAGTAGGACTCTGGGAAGCACCGAGAATCAGAGAAGCCTTGGTGTGCATGTTCACTGGTCCCTTAAAATATGAACAAAGTGGTTAAAAAGACATATGGCATACTTGGCTTTATTAGCTGAGGCATAGAGTTTAAGATCAGAAAGGTGATGCTGGAACTGTATAAAACACTGGTGAAGCCACAGCGAGAGTATTGTGTGCAGTTCTGGAATCCACATTATAGGAGGGGTGTGTTTGCACTGGAGAGGGTGCAGAAGAGATTGACTGGGTTTCGAGGAGATGTGAGGAAAAACTTTTTCACCCAGACAGTGGTGGGAATCTGAACTCACTGCCTGTACGGGTGGTAGGGGCAGAAAATCTCATAACATTTAAGAAGTATTAAGATGCTCACTTGTGATGTCAAGACATACAAGATTGTGGGCCAAGAGCTGGACAATAGATTAGAGTAGTTAGCTTGTTGACCAGTGCAGGCTCAATGGACCGAAGGGCCTCTTCTCATGCTGTGGACCTCTATAACTCTTTGACAAATAATTTAGAACCCCAAGATAATGTTCTCAGGAGATGGATTCAAATCTCACCACGGCAGATGGTAACATTTGAATTCAGTCAAAAAATACTGGAGTAAAATGTTAGCTTAATGGTGACCATGTATTCACAGTCAATTGTAATCAAAGTTAACATGGTTCACCAGGCCTTTAGGGAGGGAAACGTGCTGTCCTTACTTGGTCTGGTCTATATGTGACTCCGAACACGCAGTAACGTGATTCACTCATAACTAACCCTCGACAATTAGAAATGGGCAATAAATGCTGACCAACCAGAAACATCTGTATCCTATGAACGAATAATAAAAAAAAAGCACAAACAAATTGGAAGGAGACAGAGAAAGATAGCTGGCTACAGAATAAAGCTGCCTCTATATGGTCCCATTCAAACACTCCCTGGACAGGGACAGCACGGGGTTAGATACAGAGTAAAGCTCCTCCTACACTGTAATCATCAAACACTCCTAGGAAGATACAACACGGGTTTAGATACAGAGTAAAGCTCTCTCTACACTGTCCTCATCAAACACTCCCAGGATAGTACAGCACGGGGTTAGATACAGAGTAATGTTTACTGTACAAGGCTCACTGTTGATTCCAACTCACTTTTCCTAGGCAATGTCAGACACTCAGGAGCAGGAGGGAGACTGATCCTTGTAAAGAGTTAATGAAACAATCAGACACTTTGATTGAAGTGAGTGAAAGAGCACATGGTGTTCCTTCAAACAGTGATCAGCCTGAGGGAATTTGTCTGATTTGTCTGTTCTCTTGTGGTAAACACTGATGGCAATTTGTCCACCATTCATAGCATCCAAATGGCGAAATCAGAACTGCAGCCCACTGAGTTTTGTTTTTGCTGGCAAGTTTCTTGAGGGCTGAGAATTTTGTTTTCCTGTGATCCAGGTGCTGAGGGAAGGTGCTTTGAATTGGAGCACACATCGGTGAGGTGGGTGAGGATTTATTCCTGTTTGATCTAATGGGAAGGATACAGGGCAAAAGGGAAATTTGCCAAGTTTGCTGCATTATGGGACAACCCACGCCCTCCACTATAAACAATTAGCTCCTTTGTGCAATATACAATCTGCTATTACACAGCCTTTCTAACGCATTCCAGCCAAAACATTGCAAAACATGGCTGTACAGTTTTGCAGAGAAGTTCCAACAAAAACAACAGTTTGGATTTGTGTTGCACTTTTGCCAAATTAAAAATGTCCCAAATAGCTTCAAAGCATTGTTAGCGGACAAAATGTGACCCCGGGTCACGTTTAGAAACACCACAGAATTGTCACAGTTACATTAAGATGCCATTTGTTTATGTCAGGTTTCAGAAGGATGTAAAAACAGAAAGCTTGGTGGGTCTGATCAGCATCCGTGGAGAGAGTTTGAGTCCATTGTGACTCTCCTTTGGAACTGAAGGGAACTCAAGATGTGGTGACAAAAACAGAAGTTGCTGGAAAAGCTCAGCAGGTCTGGCAGCATCCGTGAAGAAAAAATCAGAGTTAACGTTTCAGATCAGGTGACCCTTCCTCAGAACACCAGACCCGAAACGTTAACTCTGATTTTTTCTTCACAGATGCTGCCAGACCTGCTGAGCTTTTCCAGCAACTTCTGTTTTTGTTCCTGGATTTACAGCATTCACAGTACTTTCAGTTCTTATCAAGATGTGGTGAGTTTTATTCTGTTGAGGAATAATGGTGGCTGTTGCTGGGGGCAAAAAGAACAACAGGGAAGTTCAATGAACAGGCAACAAAGATTAAAGATCTCATAAATGAAAATAGAAATTGCTGGAAAAGCTCAGCAGATCCGGCAGCGTCTGTTGCGAGAAATCTGAGATAACTTTTCGGGTCCAGTGACCCTTCCTCAGAACTGTTAGCTCAAATGTGTCTCTGCAGATGCTACCAGACCTGTTGAGTTTTTCCGGCAATTTCTGTTTTTGTTTCTGATTTCCAACATCTGCAGTTGTTTCAGTTTTTATTAAAGATCTCAGGTTTCATGGAACGCAAGGATTCCAACGATTGTTGTGAAGGAACAAAGCATTGGTTTAGAGTAGGTGTTAATAATAGATACAAAGCATGTTATAAAGGATGTATTGAAGGAGAGAGGTAAAGTGGTTTAGTGAGGAAATTCTTCAAGGCTGCCATAGGACTAAGAGCAAAAGTAGGCCTTTCAGATCATCAAAACTGCTCAACCATTCAACAAGATCCTAGTTGATCTGATAATCCTCAACTTCACTTTCCTGTCTTTCTCCCACCACTCTTGACTACTTTTTAGGCAATGAGA